AAAAAAAAAAAAAAAAAAAGAGACCCCAGCCAGGGTGTAGGAGATCCCGGCTTTGTGATTAAATGGCTGCCGGACCTTAGGCCAGGCTCCTCCGGCCTCTTTTTCCGCCTCAATTCCCCCCACTGGTAAAATGGAGGGACATGGCGGAGGATTGGCAGGCCCTTCCCTAGGGCTGGCCTCCTGATCGGCAGCCACCCCTCTGAGCACCCCGTGTGACAAGCGCTGGCTAGGGGCTTTCCTCCAAGGAGCGTCTCATCAAATCCTCCCAACACGCTGCCCTCAATGTTCCCATGCCTGCCTCTGTTGGGTGGGAGGCTGCCTCTGCAGCCTCCACCTGCCAGGCTCAACAGAGGAGGCAACAGAGACAAAGAGAAGGGAAGTTGCTTGCTCAAGACCACGGCTAGCGAGCTTGTGGAAAGTGCTAACCTCAGTCCCAGCAACCCCAGATGCCGCCCAGCACTCAGTGAAGCTCATCCCTGCCTGCCCACATCTCCCCTTTTCTCAGACCTGTTAAATCCCCCCTCTGGGAAGCCACTCTGATTAGCCCCATCCCACTTGAGGCACCTCCATGAGCTCATGGAGGTGCCATAGCCCTCCATTGCATTGCCACAGCCCTCTGCAAACGGTGTAGACCACGCTAAGCGGGCTAGCTAGGTGACTTTGGGCCTTGCCAGAGCCCTGCAGAAGCAGGAAGCTGAGCTCTATCCTCGGGCCCTTCATCCCTCTCTGACCCTGAATCCTGGGCCCACTGATATCATACCTGGTAACTACAGCCACAGCCTGGCTTGGGGCTGGGCCAGGTCTCCTGAGCTAAGGGTGGGGCTTGTATGGCTTTATGCCAAGTCACGTCCTGGCCACGATCAGCCAGGAGTGGGAGAAGCTGCCTCAGACCCAACAGGCGAGAGGAAGGGCCATGCCTCCCCCCGCCTTGCCCTTTCTCTGAGGCCCCCTCCTGCTGCTGGGACCCAGACCCCTTCAGGCCTCTGCTCTCACCTTGCCGACTCACAGGGGCACCTATGCCGCCATAGCAGGAAGGGATTGAGATCTTTTCTTCTGAGCCACGCCCATCACTCAACGTGTCCACCTCATCTTCTGCAGACAGGGATGCCTAGGTCACCGCTCTGGGCCGAGGCCTAGAGGAAACTCAGGCCCTGGGCCCTGGCCAGTGTGAAGCCGCCTATGTACTGCACCTCGGGGAGTATGAGGAGAGAACTTGCAAGGCTGCAGAGCAAGGATCCAACCAGAAGGGGCCTGTTCTTGGAGTTCTTCCAGCCCAGCTCCCAGGGGACCTGCATGGCCAATGCCAATGCCACGGTGGGGTGTTGAGGAGCGGGGATCCAAAGGCCTGAGCTACAGGAGTCGGGGTGGCAATGTGTGGACTGGCCTCCCGGGAGAAAAGGCTGTCACGCTGGAGGAGGCTGGAGGGGGGAAGAGGGCTGGGTAATCTCTTGGCCCTCACATGGTTTCTGGGCACACACTAGCCAGTCCTACAGTCGGTCAAGGGTTTCAAATGTTGGTGGCAAAATCTGTGCTAAGGGTGTGGGCTCTCCTAATCTGAGAGCTTCCAGGAGGGAAGCCCAGCCCTCAGGGAGAAGAGGCAGGAGCTGCAGATAACACGGTGGAGGCCGCTGCTCCAGCTGATAAGGGCCTTCGTCCCGTGCTTTCTCTCCATCAGCCCAACTGTAGGAGGTGCAGGCACATGAGATGCAAAGAGGGCATGAGGGCAGGGCACACTTACCATCTCCGTAGATGCGGATTCCTCGCCTCCTGGGAACCCAGGCAGGAAGAAGGAAGAAATATAAGTTAGGACCCCTGGAATGATACCAGGGATAGCGCTGTGGGCACCAGACTTCAGCCAAAGCTCAAAGAGATGGAAACAGGCCTCTGCCTCCTGAGGACTTCCAGCCCCAAATCCCAGCCCCAGTCTGGGGTGAGCCAGAAGACAGGCTTCGAGGTGTCTGACTCTGCCCAATGGTGGAGGATGGGGAAGGGGTGAAGGGCAGAGTATTAGGTGGGAAGACTACAAGGCTGGCAGAGCCCATGAGCTCAGCCCCAGCTCTGCTGTGCAAAGGCTGAGGCCTGTCCCTTAATCTCTCTGAATCTTCTGGGCCTTAGAATGATTCAAAGTGGTATTCCGAAGAGCAAGAAGGAAGAGAGAAGTAAAAAATGTTTTGAAAACATGAAAGTGCTAGACAGATGTAAAAGATTTCCTTTACTGAGAACCTTACACAGAGCCTGGCCCAGGATGGGTCCATAGACCATCTGTGTTTGCAGAATTAATCAATGAACAGGGAACAGACAGATGGGATGCTAAGCCACTCCTACAGGCCCCATACCTTACTAAAAGCACAATCCAGTTTATGCTCAAATCCAAAATTGGGCACCCCAGAAGAAGATGTAAAGAAAAAGACAGTGGTCAGGGAAGACTATGTGACCCTTCTTTGTATTCCCCAAGACACTAGGAGTCATTGTCCTCTGGCCATGCGAGGATGGAAGAGGACACAGGGACAGGGATAGAAAGACCCTGAAGGCTGGCTCCTTACCCAGGATTCACAGGTTCCGAGGGCAGGGGCACTTTCCGGGTCTTGCTAAGGGAGGTCAAAGGTGAGCTCATAGTTCCACTTCTAGAATCCAGCTGTCAGGAACTCCCTAGAGGAATGCAGGAAGTCAGCCCTTGGGGACAGAGGGGACAGACTCAGGGCTCCAGGCCCAGGGGGTAGCCTGAAGTTTCCTCTTCCCTGGCTCCTCTTCCTAATGGGAAGCACTGTGTATGCAGAAGTACGCTTTGCCTCATCCACTGCCCCGACAGAGGTTTCCGGAAGTTTCTGTTACCTGCCTTCTCTTCTGGGAATACAGCTCTCCACTCTAACCCGAGAGACCTTTGGCCTGGTGGTGCTTGGGAAAGGACAGTGAGGATGGGATGGGATGGAATGCAGAAATGAGTCAGAAGCCTGGGACTTCCTCACACTTACAGCCTGGGAACACTACTACCCAGGAGGCTGTCTATCCATCAGCGAGCTGGGTGGCACAAAGCCCAAATGTTTCCTTCCCTCCCAACAGAAACCAGAGCCAGAGAGGGCAACCCTCAGGCAGGACTCAATCAAGACACAGTCTATGTGACACCAAGATTAAGACACCAGATTCTGTCACTCTCTGGAGCAACCCATCTTCAGTTTCTTTTAGTGTAAAATAGGAGTAGGGATAGTATGGACACAGGCAGGGTTCTGAGCAGATTCAGAGAGAACAGAGAACGTCCAGCCCATCACCAAGCTCAAAGGAAGCACTGAAAAATGTGAGCTGGGGCTGCTCTGAGTTTTTGCTGTTGCTGGCACATAGAAGGCACTCATAAATGTTCGTTTCCTTTCCTTCCCTCTTCCTTCTGGAAAGAGTATACCTGAGGGACATCATTGAAGGCTACTACTCTATTCAGTAAATGAAGCAGATTAAGTCACTAATATGTAGAACCAAAGGACATCTACTAGGGAGGTTTTGGAGATGGAGTCTCACTGTGCTGCCCAGGCTCATCTCCCATCTTGCCACCTCCCACACTTGAGCCACCTGAACTGCTGGCAATGCCTCAAATGCACGTGTGTCCCCACTGCCTCAACCCCCCACTCCTACCTGCACCCTTCCCTTGGCCAGCTCTTTTTTTCCCCCTTCAGTTTGTTTTTCACTTATATTTTAGCTTTTTATTTGAAAATTATGATAGATTCACAGGAAATTAGGAAAGATCTTTGTATCCTTCTCTCCTCAATAGTTACATTTTATATAACTACAGTATAATATCAAAATCAGGAACTGACATTTTTTAGACGAGATCTGGCGCGTTCAGGGTGGTAGACACTGACATTTTTAATACAGTTTGTATGTATAGGTCTATGCTGTTTGATTGCATGGGCAGATTAAATCACATAGGTCAAGTCACATGGGTAACTACCACTGCAATCAAGATACAGAACTATGCTAGACCCACCAAGATATCCCTTGTGGCCCTCTTTATAAAGTCACACCCATCCTGCACCCCTCCCCCAGCCCTAACCACTGGCAACCAGAACGCTATTTTCCATCTCCATAACTTTCTTACTTCAAAAAAGTTATATAAAAGGAATTATACAGTATGCAAACTTTTTCATTTGAGATATAATTCACATATTTCACCCTCTTATGGTGTAAATTTTTTAGTATATTCACAGAGCTGTGCTACTATCACCACAATTTTAGAACATTTTCATCAGCTTTAAAAGACCCTGTACCCTTTAGCAGTCACCTCCCACTTACCCTCTAGCCCTCACCCTCTTTCCTAGCCAACCACAAATCTACTTTCTGTTCTATAGACTTGCCCATTCTGCACATTTCATATAAATGGAATATACACTGCAATATACTAGAAATGATTGAAATTTGTACTGTAAAGGAGTGAAGTATATAGTAGGTGAATTATATCTCAATAAAGCTGCCATAGAGGGGAAAAAAATTCCTAAACCAAACCCAACATCTTTCCTCAAACTCACTTTCTCCAACTTCTCCCTTCTTGATGGTACCCCGTCACCCAACCAGAACATTTTTCTCTCCTTCCTTCCCTCTTACACCATCTTCCCTCTTACACCATACCCTGCAGGTTAAACTCTCTCACACACAGCTGCCCCTTTCCATGCCCACTGTCGGCCATCCTAGTGGGAGTCTCACTGCCTATTCTGGGGGCTGTCACATGGCCCCCAACTGACTTTCCTACTTCCAGTGTCACTCCAGTCCAATCAGACACTGTCTCCAGGTTAATCTTCTCCCAGATTACAGGGGACGCTGCGGGCAAAGGCTGCATTTCCCCACCCGTTTGGGGGGACTCCTGAGGGCAGGGGTGTGTCTCTTCCTCCTTCAGAATGGGGAGCCCTGAGGACAGAGTTGTCTACCTCTTTCACTTTGGGGCTTCCAAGGGCAGGACTATGGCTTACCCTCAGGCCGAAAGCTCCTTAAGGTAGGTTTGTTACCCACTTCAGACCTGGCTCTAAGAGCAAAGCTGTGTACCATGCCTCCACATCTTTGGGACCGAACTAGTGCTGTGCTTGACTTAAAACATCCTTCTTCACACCTCCTCGGCCTGTCCGTCACCCCCAAGGCCCAGCGCTCTGGCAGGACACAGTCCGACCTGCTGCCAGCAGTCACTCCCTAATGCCCCCAAGGACGCGCCCAGCGAGCGACGTCTATCACGACCTAATCCAGCCCTGGCGGCCGTGTCGCCTCCTCCCGCCTCCAAGCGTAGTCATAGTAAGCAGGGTCCCGAATCTCTCCGGTGGGAGCCGCGGAGCTCGCGGGCCCTCGGAGCTCTCGGGGATCGGGCTCCAGCCTGCGTGGGGACTCCAGGAGCAGAAAGGTCTTGGGCCAGACTCACCAAGCAGGGCCGCTAGCCGTCCAGCGGTGCCGCCATCTTGTTGTCACGCGGTTTCCTAGGCGACCAGGACCCGTGCACTTCTCATTGGCTGGTTTGAGAGCGGCCTGAGCAACCAGCAGACCGCAGAGGGGAGGGAATACAGTCGTCTACGCTCGGATTCTATTGGCCCACAGAGTCGGCATTCTTCGTGGGATACCACGAATCCCAGAATGCACCGCTCTGAGCGGGCTCCAAGTCGAGAGAAATGGGGGGGCGGGGTTGTTGGTTCATACCCACAGGTGTGGGAGGAAGCAACCTGGGATTAGATTAATGAAATTGCTGGAAGCCTCTGGACCTGAATGTGTGATCCCGGCAGTGCCGCTATTTTGCTAAATTGATCTTGGGGGGAATTATCCCTCTTAGCCTGTTTCCCCATATGGTCAGTATTACAGTACTTCGCTTTGAGGATGGATTGCAATGATGCAAGTACTTAATAAATGTTTTTTGTTGTTGTTGTTTTGAAGGAAGGAACTAATAAATGTTTCTTAAATCTGAGTTTCTGTGATAATTCCTTGACCAGATTTGCGCCCAGATTTGCACAAATTCTAGTTCTTTTTTTTAAGAATTGGGTAAGACAATTTCCCCTCCGTGAGCCTCATCTGTAAAATTGTGTTGGATTAACTCAGTCACCACAGCAGCTAAAGGCAGTTAAGAGCACGAACTTTGGAATTAGGAGTCCTGGCTCCTGACTGTGTGTTCTTGGACACTTTATACACCTTAGTTTTTATATCTGTAAAATAGTGATAATACCCACCCCCACTGGGTTGCTATTAGGATTAAATAAGATAATACGAAGTACATGATTTTAAAGGGGAAAGCCGAAACAAACAAAAACACTTGTACACAGCACTTTTTCAAAAACGTTTCCTGCTGTTAATCATCATCATCATCTCTCCACCCTTTCAGCTGTGGTGGTCTGGGAGTTTATGATTTCTGATCTCAGGCACTCGCTTCCTTGTGCCCGTGTTCAAAAGCCCCCTTCTCTGCACAACACAGACTGCCTTTTTTTTTTTAGTAATTTGTTTTCCGTTTGACTTTCTAACTTACCACACTTTCAGGGAAGGGCAGGCTCTGCTCACTGCAACCCCTGCCTCCCTGGCTTAAGCCATCCTCCCACCGCAGCCACCAGTGTAGCTGGGACTACAAGCGCGAGCAACCATGCCCAGCTAGTTTTTGTATTTTTTTGGTAGAGATGGGGTTTCGCCATGTTGCCCAGGCTGATCTTGAACTCCTGAGCTCAAGCGATCCAACCATCTCTGCCTCCCAAAGTGGATGGCATTCTTTATATGCAAATTGGAAGCTAAAGAGAGCTACCACTACTGAGTGCCTTCCAAGTACTAGATGGCAACATTATGAAATTTACAGATGAGAAAACTGAAGCTCAGAGTACTACAGTGGCTTGCATAAGATTATAAAGCAGAAGTGGATTCAAACCCAGAACAGTCTGCCTCAAGAGGCCATGCTCAGGTCAGGTGCAGTGACTCACGCCTGTAATACCAGCACTTTGGGAGGCCGAGGTGGACAGATCACAAGGTCAAGAGTTCAAGACCAGCCTGGCCAATACAGTGAAACCCTGTCTCTACTAAAAATACAAAAATTAGGTGGGCATGGTGGTGGGCACCTGTAATCCCAACTACTCTGAAGGCTGAGGCAGGAGAATCACTTGAACCCAGGAGGTGGAGTTTGCAGTAAGCCAAGATCGCGCCACTGCACACCAGCCTAGGCGAAAGAACGACTCTGTCTCAAA